CGCTTATGAAAGATGTGATTCATTAGTTAATCCTGCAGCCTTTTAAGTTTTATAGTGCTGATTAACTATATTTTTACTTCTTTCTTGTCTGGTTAATCACTGAACAGGCCAAGTGGGCTCAAAGGCCCAAGAGATCACCGGGCTCTGGTTGAAGTGATTTTTTTAACCTTTTGTCATTGGAAAGTTGAACAGACATCTACAGAGACACCAAACCAAAGCAAACTGAGAGTTAATCCTCAGCTTCATTTACCACCTCAGCCACGGAGGTGAGGTTATGTTTTCACCCCTCTGCCTTTGTTTGTTTGCACAAAAACGACAGACAGGTCTCCACAAAATTTGGTGGAAGGATGTGATATAGGTCAGTTGAGAACTCATTATATTTTGGGGTGGATCCAGATCAGGGTGTGGATCCAGGATTTTGTTTTTGTCTTTGACATTGCAATGCTCTGCTCATGGGAATTTACTTTATTCCCTCAGGAGTCTCACAGCTGTTTGTCCACACCCACAACAAGGGGGATCACTACACCTGGCAATCTATTAATGAAGACTTTTGACAAAGTTTTTAAACAAAAAAAATCAAAGCGCAGAAGTGGAATCTGGAGTAGACGTTTCACGGGCAATGCAGGAGCAACGTGAGCTTGGGGAGATGAGCTGAAGCTGTAGCAGAGGAAATCTGTCGAAGCAAAAGAAAGTTATCCTTGGTTATATAAAGCAACCTCGCCTTTCATCAGAGCTGCGACTGTCACGTCCAATTGGATTCTGCTGCGCAACTTCCTCATCCTCAGTCGACTTTAATGTACATCAGGGTTGATGGGATGGGATCTTATGTTCCCTGCCCCCTGTTCCCTGCACCCTCTCCACAACCCCTCATCTTTCTCCTTTTCTCTGTGTCCAATTACTGTTATATTAACTCCATTAGAGAAACCATCAGTTGTGTAATTGGCCAATCAGCATGAAGACCCAGGCTTCTTATCAAGTTTCATAACAAATATTAAGCCTAACTGGAAACAGAAGTGCGCAGCAGCGAAGGCCCTAGGATGCTCTTGCCCGAAACCCGCGGTTCACCCCGTCTGCTAGCTTTCCGTCTGTTCTTTATCTTTCCACATCTTCAATCACCCTGATGCCCTCTTTCCATCCTCTTATCGCCTCTTCCTGTGATCTGTCCGTCATGTGGGGATGTGCAAGATGCCGTCCCTATTTTTTTTTCTCCTCTCTGTCTGACCACTCTGTCACGCTCTGTGTCTATGCCTGTGCCTAATGTCCCGCTGTCCCAATCTTATCTGCAGGGTGTAATCAATAACTAAAACAACAGAGATGTATCACACTCTCTCCCTTCATCTGTCTCTCTCCCTCGCTCCCTCACAAAGACTCGTGCAAACACAGATTACCAACATCATTAGATAAACATGATTACTGTCTAGATGTAATTACTGTTGAATCAACCATAATTAGTGGCAGAGAAATGAAAGCTGGATGACTGACATTCAGATTTACAACAAAGGTTTACATCTTGTTCTTCTTTGGATGTAGATGCAGATGTGCCCTAGTTTTGCACAGTAGGTTCATAACCACTTAATCTAAGCCCAAGGCGACAGGTGCTTGAACTGAGTTTCACTTTTTTCCTCCAGCAGCAGCTATGGACTAAAATCCTTTAAAGATCATTTCTATTGTTTTGGATGGATGAGTTGTTCAGAGGTGATTTCACTGCTCTTGGCAGAATGCCGGGCCAGAGAAAGTCACACAAAGCGAAGCAGCCACCATGCAGCTCTCGCAGCCAGTATTTACTGGGTATTAAAATAATTTAAGTGTGCTGCAGCGGCTGGGAAGTTTCTGCCAGACTGTGTTTGTACCACCTCAGAGCCAGAGGATTGAAAGCAGTTTGACCTTGTCATTTCATTTCACTGCCCAAGTGTTTGCTTCCCCCAAGCCAACACTGAAGGCATCAACAGAACAGAGCTGATAAAATAGTTCATGAAATAAATCACACATTTGTCCCTTAAAGCAACAAGATTTAACCTTTACCTTAAAATAGCAGCTTCAAATGTAATGTTTGATGGTTCACTGGCTTGGAAAAGGGAGAATTGTGTTGCTTTCATCCTGCTCCTCACACCAAATGCCCGTTCTTCCTCAATTAACTTTGGTGAGTGTGTATCTCCAATATTCCATACTTTTAAATTAAAAAGAATTCTAAACACAGTTGGCTGTATTAGGTAAAGCTGCAGCTCTTCTTGTTCAGGAAGCTGGGGATCATGGGTAATATGCACCATTCAGTTGTGTTTTAGTTTGGTGAGTGGGACTACGCTCAGTGTAACAGATTGAGGGACTTTTCTTTACATGAAAACCACTAAATTGCCTTGACGCGGAGCCCAACAGAACTTATAATCATGTGGGGCTGAAGGGGGCGCTGTTGCTCAGTAAAAGTTGTGAAGTATTGCTTTTGTCAGAATTGAAATTGATAGTGCAGAGCCCTTTGTAAAAGCTAGAGGTTAATGTTGAAATCCTGGAGTAGATAGTTCCTCACCTAATAACATGCACAGCACCTTGTGCGCTCACACTGGGAACACGTTGTGGTGTTTTTAATAAAATGTCTACGCTCATCTAACCCTCTCTCCACTCGACTGTCTACTGACTCACTTTCTCCATGACCTGATCTTCCTAAATTGTGTCTTTGCTTCCTCCCTCGTCCTTTCCCAGTAGTGCTCTCTCTCCCCCCCACCATTTCTGTGTGAGGTCAGTATCTTGTGATGTAGCTGTTTCAGCACCGAGACAATCCTGGTAGCAAGGACAACAGCACCTTGTCTTCTCCCACTCTCCCTCGTGGACACACACTCTCGGCAAACAGCATCTCCCTGCGTCCAGGTGTGAGATGGGTGTCATCCTTGTGCCCCACACAGGGCGTCACAGAGGGGACAGGGACAGTGTTCTGAACAAGCTTTTACTTTTCATAGGTCAGCGGCAGAAAACACACAGTGTCCTCCTGACCTGCGAGAAAGATCAATGAACAGCATAAAAAAGAATTCATCTTTTTTTTTCAGTCTTCGCTTATGATGCTTATTCAGACATTGCCCACCCTTGGATACTGTAAAGTAATACACTGCAGCCTCACACACACAAAGGGACACAGTGGTGTATTGTGTGAGTGCTGAGCCTGTGGAAAGAAATGGCTGGTATGTTGTTTTTCAGAATGAGGAATAGGGTTAAACATGATTTGGGTTTGCCACAAATGGCAAATGGAGACAGGCATGCTTTGTCTCTGTTTTTTTCCACCTTTGTTTTGGTGTCAGTAAAAATGGAGACTGTGGCTGTGAGTGTCAACCTTGGAGAACTGCTGAGAAAAGGCTCCACTACCGAAGGCCTCAAGTTCACTATTTTCATAGTGTGCACCATCAAGTGTCTCTGCTGCTCATAACCTCTTCACAAAGCTGCACAAGAGAAGAGCTAAGGGGCTTTTATGGTTCCAGCTAATGAATGGAAAGTAGGGGCGTATTAATTTCACGTTAACACTCAATTAAAACTCTCATCCTGCTCGTCCATCCACTTAATCTGAAGGGATCGGTTACAGTTCTCCACTTGGCAAGTACACATGGTGCACATCCTGTAAAACCTGATACAAGCTCTGTTTTCACTGTAAAAATCGGATCTTGCTGACACTCAGTAAAGCGCATACCTCTGCAAAGGCCCAAGAGTCTCCTTATAAAACCCCATTTTAATTCACTAGATCCAGGTTTTTATTTGGATCACCAAATCGCACACACTCATGATAATTAAAAAACTTAAATATCAGTCCGTTAAACTTGTCTTTTTCATCAAGATCCATGAATTATTCTCTTAGAAATCAATGAAAATGTAGAAAAAATCTCAAAATATTGAAGAAAGTGGGGAAAAAAGCTGGATTTGCCAGAATGGGATTCAGCAGAGCACATACGTCCACTACCACTGCCCAATTGTCCCCTTAACGCAATCAAGCTTGCACACAGTTATAGTAATCAGATTTTCAAATCAAAAGCCATTCATTAATCTCTACATGGGACATCCCTACAATGCCATATATCGCAAGGTCAGAAAAAGTGATACAAAAAATTCTGGATGTGCACCCTGATCTCACCCATATCACATCCTTCACCAAGTTTCATGGGAATCTGTCCAGTAATTTTTGCATAGTCTTGCTTGTAAACAAACAAATGGACATAGGTGAAAACCTCACCTCCGCACTGGAGGAAAAACATCTTGGTAATCTTGATCATATACTAAGCATAAGAAATAACCATCTCAATATATCATATTTGAAGTTGTACCGTTAGAGATATCACAGCTAATCCTCCTGCTGTCTCCCAGTGGCAGCTTAACCTTTCACATGTGGCATCATTAATGTGCTTTCATGCCTCTGAATACGGCACAAAGGAAAAAAGCATAATGAAGGAGAGCAGAGGCGTTCCTTAAAGTGTCCTTGATGTCCCCTGCGACGCTTCACTGCGTATTTCCAGCAGACTCGCTGACTAACATAAAAACCTATATAATCTTTAGGTTGCAGGTCTACACTGGATATGAACTGGACCGACAGACAGAAGCGGTTTTTCACACCTATTTTGTTTTTCAGGTTGTTGATGAAGAAAAATAGGGTTATTAGTAATGTTCCAATCATTTCCTTTCATTTGCATAATGAAAATATAAGAAATTATTTGACATAAGCCAGTTGAGCAATGTCTGTCTGGAGCCCAGCTGGAAAGCCAGTTGGCATTCGGAGCTATGGAGAGGCAGAAGGTTTTCTATCAAACCTGCACACATGCTGAGTCATGTTGGAACATCAGGTCAGAAGCTGTTTCCTAGAGGGAAGAATGACAGAGGGAAAATACTGTAACATTGTCCTTTATCCACACTCTTCAAACAAGGGAAGGATCGTGCGTCCGTCTGAGAGGACGGGTGTCCTTTTATAACATTTTGAACAATTGTGATGGACTCAAACATCAATTAATCAACCTTCTTTAATGTGTCCTCTACAGGAAACAGGAGCAGCTGAACATCTCCAGTGTCCCTCTGGGAGAATGTCCCCCCTCACCGCCCCGCACTGCACCGCCCAGCATGAAGGTAGGAGAGGACACACACGAGCATTGACGTGGATGTGCACACATATTTCTGTCAACACACACACACACAGACAGACAAACTTGTGAAAGATACTGATTTACTGACTTTTTCTTTGACACACTTGCCCTTTAGACCTTTAAGCCAGTCAGAAAACATATTGATTCTAAATATCCTCATTGAGAAACCGCTTCAGCAAGCGCAGCAGATCAGAGACATTGACAAACTGCAGTGTCACGACTACTTAAAATTCACAATGTGACACACGTTACGCAACTTCAAGAAAAGAAAAAGTTATTTTACAGTTGACACCGGTTTATCGCTGACATTGTTCAGCCACAATAAAACTGGTAACTGAAACACATGTATTCCATTTACCTCTCTCTAAATGAATTGTTTAAAGTTAATACAAGATGTGAGGGTGTGAATTGTTGTTTGTCTTTGGCCCTGTGATGCACCGGTGACCTGTTCAGGTTGTACCCTGCCTATCACTGGTCAGCTGGGATTGGCTTATACGCCCCCCCCCCCCCCCCCCCCCCCCCCATTACCCTCAAAAGGATAAGCAGTAAAGAGAATGAATGGATGGATAATTGAATTCAAGTTCATCACCCTACTTGGTTTTCATGTTTTTTACTGTTTTGTCATGGGGCAGTCGATATCAAGTCAGGTCAGATTCTCTTCAAAAAAGGTTCTCCATAATTTATATCCAATCTTTCTCTCACAGACAGTAAACACAGCCACTTCACTGTGTAAATTGACTCCCTCAGTTTCACCATGGCTGCTCCTCTATGCTTGGAGTGATGTAATCCTTTTGTCCGTGTATAAATCAATTATATAAATCATTCTGAAGGCAGAATAAGAGCCCCAGATGACAAGCTAAGACAAGAACTGAACTTTGTTTTACGTTTTTTACTCCATATTCATTCTCAAGTCTATATTGTCAGTGTTTCCCACTAGATCATTAATGGGAAACTGACTCAAACTTCTACAATGCTTTCATTTCCTTCCATCCTTTATTTGAGTTTGGAGAATTTGGCCATTGCCCTCTTGACCTGCACACTGCGCAGTCGCTTTCAAGGTCATGAGCTTGCTTGTTTTTACGTCTACAATGATTTTGAGCCTTGAGATTTGTTTCGCTCTTTCCAATAAAATGCTGTGTTTTGAAAAAGGAATTGCAGTTGAAATAAGGTAGTACACGCTGTCCTGACCACACATTTTCAAGTTCATTCAAGAGGATCATCTTTCTTGTGTTGTCTCATTGATCCATGAGATTGTTCTCCACATATAGAGAAAAAATTTCAAAATCTATATGATATTATGAGGTGAAATGATTTCAGACATCCATTATTGACTAGAGCTGAAGAATATGTCCCTCCTGTTTCCATGTTAAAAGAGGGGATACATTTTGCAGGGAGGCTGGTTCAGAAATACATAAATTGGCTCCTGCAGAATGCAGCCCCTTGTGTAGCATGTCACCTTGAACCAAACCATCATTATTGAACCAGCTGACGACAACACAGAGGGCGAGACTATACAGGAAGAAGAAGTTTAAAGTTTGCTCAGTGGAATATAAACTCAGGCCAGGGCAGACACTTTTGCTGAAAATGAAAATTTCATACAACCACAGTTAAATTAAATCCAAGACTTGTCATCCTCGGCTGCCGCGTGCAAGAAATAAGAGAAATAAAAGGTGTGGAACAAACCAAATGTGATTCTGTCGCTCATAAATGAAACATTTAATCTGAACCTGTTCAAGTCTAAATGCCAAAACATTCAAACAAGTCTCCACCAGTTTTTATACACACCAATTTCAATCTGGTCCTGTGTTGTGTGTGTTCACATATGATTGCACAGGCTACATGTCGTTGCTACACAACGTACTTATTGGTATTGCCCTTCCAATACAGTGGCCATAAACACGAGCCACCTGGTCGGCCAGACTGGTATGACAATAGATGTTTTATAAACCTGGTACACACTGGCTACTGTGCTCTGTAGCTGTACTACGATAATGACTTTATATAAGCAAACAGAACATGCTTAAAAAAGTTTAAGTAAGGAAATGTTGTCTCTTTGAGGTATTTCACTGGTTAGAACAGGTTCTCTAGAGGTCAGAGGTCATAACAGTGGTTTGTAAACATCACAGTCTCCATATTAAGATGGCTGCAGTATAGGCCATAGATCCTGCCTCCTCCATATTAATGAATGGGACATGGACCAAACTTAAAAGTTAAAGTGCACATTTTTCTCTAAGGTGGTTGCTGTCATTTAAGGAAGTTCAGTCAGACAACTGTTAATTGCAGCAGCAGAACAGAGTTAAGGTTTGGTGGCTAGTCTGGTGTGATTTATAGAGGGTTGTGGATAGTGAGTCAGATTGAGTTTGCCCTGCTTTATTACTCAGCACATTGATGTTTGTTCAAGTTGTCCGATAAGATTGGGTTTAATTATTTAATGCTATAAAAACGCTGTGAAACTTCAAAATCGACAGCTGAGGGTTCGCGATTGGTCGACCACGTGTTTCGGCAGGACCTCGCTGCCATGTCTCCTTCCCCTGATCACTACTCCAAATGTGCTAGATGGCGCTGTTTGTTTTGAGATATTGGGAGGAAATGGAGACGTGTTGTCCATCTTTATCTACAATCAATGTTAAACATATAAGTTAGCAGTGGTGGAAACTCAAGTACTCGACTTAATTACAAATTAAACTGCCCTCCTCTGCTTTATATATAACATTTACTCCACTATACATATATAAGATAAATTAACTCAGCAGGTACTTTGAAACTAATACAATTTATAATGAGCGTTTTAGATTCTATTATGTACTTTTAACTGCGTATAATTTTGAATTGATGACTTTTACTTCTACCAGAATATTTCTACAGTGGTCTATTTATACCGTTATCAACGCTCTGTAGTGACTTACACTGTGTTTTAATGTCAACAGTCAACGTTCAAAGACGCTGCTGCCGAGACAGCAAACAAAGAACGTTAGACAGCTGTTAAACCAGACCTATAGCGTGTCTGTGTGTATTGTGTGTCTTTTTCTATGTAGTGTGTAGACACATTCACACTGGAGTAGCCGCTTTTGTTTTGTCAAAAGCCATCTGACTTGATTGTCCTGTTTGAGCTTGAGACGTTTAAAGGCAAAATAGAAATTAAAAGTGAGTGGGAGGGAAGTTCCTTTAGTAAATGTAGACGCTGGTTAGAATAGAAGGAAGCTAGGGAGGGTTCAGATGTTTTAGCTGCTGTTGTTAAGGTAAGACTGCATTTTACATTTAAAATCATAAACTTTCCTCAGAAAGTGTGTTTACCTGATTATAAATCCTGCAGTTGCAATGAATTGAATCTAATGCCTAGTCTAAGAGGATTTTACAACTTAAATGACCTCAGTTCAGGTAAAATAAGTTTATTTAAAGTCAGTGTTGGGATTGAAATATACAGATAGTGCATCCCTGAAACTTTCATGGTTTTATATCTTATTCATAGCAGATTTACTCCCATGTTTATGGCATTTCACAACAATATTTCATAACCCAGGGGCCAGACCAAAACTGTTTTGACTGAAGTATCAAATACAGATGTGTGTCAGTGCAGATATAAGGCAGTTTTCCACCTACAGAGCTGTGTAACTGTATTTTAATGCACATCTTGCCCATCCACAAGACTTCTCTATGGATCACACTGCAGTCATTTCAGCACAGTGCAAACTTTGAGGTGCAGCTAGTCTGAACAAAGCTCTCACAGGGAGGGACTGTTGTGACTATAACAAGAGCATGATACTGATCGTGTGAAAAGAAACAAAGCACCTCAGCTTGGTTAGCATTACATTTCCTTTCAATTCATGTTTTTGATCATGTTAAGTTCTGCAAATATGCTTATTAGCCTGATGATGTCAGGACATGCTCGTTGCAAGTCAACATGCAGCTGAATATGTTTATGCATCCACATGAATATGAATGAATTCTTGCAGCCGCTGAGTGTCAGTCAGTCAGAGAAGCAGGTGATCTAATCTGCCTGCAGTCTGTGGTAGGGTTGCCATGGGAGATAAGAGATGCTGATGTTGTTGCTGGGCAAGAGAGACAGGGAGAGAAAGACAGAATCTTCGAGAATAAAAAACGAAAGTGATAGAGAGAAGGAGAGAGAAAAGATAAAGAAATCAAAAACAGACAAATATATCCTGGGAGGGTTAAGAAAGCTGAGAGAAGAAATTAGCAGAATGCATCACAGAGACAGAGAAACACAGGCGTCTCCCGTCTGGTCACTGTAAAGTGGCTATAGCTGATGATCGAGCACACTGTCAGCAGCACCGGAGCCTAAACACACCCAAACACGGCCAGAGGACCAGCTGCATCAGTGTCTTTTTAACTGGTCAAAAGCCTGTGAGGACGTTATATTATATCTGCATCAGAGAGTGAAGAACCTAAGGCTGCAAATTCTGCTTTTAATCTTTTAGTTCTGTTGCCCTCATGTGATTCCAGTTAAAACACACACACACATAAACACAGGTTTGCACAGACGAGAAGCTGAAACCAGAAGGCTTCCAGACCTATTGTTAGTATTCACAAGCAGAAACCGTTTATAGAGATGAGCCCTTAACTTTAACCTCAAAAATAACGTGTAGTCTCTTCAGGACCAGGTTATGTTATGGTCCCCATGAGGTATACTAGGTCAGTGTTCATGCTGGAACATGTCTTAAAGAGGTAACAAAACCAAGCATGCACACACACGCACACACACACACACACACACACACACACACACACACACACACACACACACAGGGTTAATATGAAATAAGTTAATATTTACTAGTTAAATGTGTAACCAGATACCGCTGTGTGTGTGTGTGCGCGCTCATGTACAGCTGTCTTTGTGAGGACCATTTCGAGACTATAACCCACGGAGTGAGGCCGGCCCTCACTGTCTGACCCACCTTTAATGGACTGTTTGGGGGTGAAGACTTGGTTTTAGGGTTAGGGTTATATATGGTTCAGGTTTGGGTTAGGCATTTAGTTTGGATGGTAAGGGCAAGGGGCTACGGAATGCATTATGTCAATGAGTGTCCTCACTAAGATAGAACTACAAACATGTGTGTGTGTCTGTGTACTGTAGGATTGTTGGTGAAAGATTTAGAGATTTCCTCCAAATTGCAGGTAACCATCGTGAAGTATAAGCACTCGATTTTATTACAATGGTTCTGTCAAACTGTAGACATTAAGAGTTTTTTACTGCCAGAATAGAGTCATTCAAATGGCTGTAAAACACCACACCTCTCTTAGTTCCCCTGGTTGAAGAGCTATGGTTCGATGGTGATTCATTTATCTCTGAGTTCCTCTTCTCTATCTTTGTTTTATTGCTACTGAGTGTGCAGCAGCCTGACAGGTGCATTTAAAAGTGCGACAGTGTAAGGTAGTGCGTGATATTAGTTGTCAAATAGATTTAAAGTGGGTCATAGTTGATTATTTTAATAGGTGAAATGAAACGATTTTATTCGATTTTACTTTTGGTAATATTGTGTGAACTGTACAGGAGCATTGAAAAAGGAAGCATCAGTGTCGTAGATTTTGTACCAGAACTACTTTTCTGAATTTCTTCCTCTCTGTCAGACCTTCTGTTATATTGAAGTTTATTTTATGAAGGGAACAGACATCTTCACATATGAGTGCCTGCATGTGTATGCACACACTTGTATAGTTTAAAACTAGCCTGCACACATTGCATTCACGTGTGATATGTGCACCAAACCTGCAGCAGAAACACACAATGCACTTAGACCATTATCACCCTTACAGCTTCTATTTGACAAGGTGTAAGTCCGGGTTGGAGAATGTGTGAATGCGTTTGGGGATGCATGTGTTTGTGTTAGCGTTGTGTTGACTTCTGTGTGTGTGTTGCTCTCTGAGGAAGTGGCTGCTTATCTGTGAGTGCATGCATGTAGGTGTGAGCGCTGGTTGGGAGTGGCTCTGTCCTGCCCTCCTGACAGCTGCTGTGAAGGACTCACACAGTCAGAAGCCAATGTTGCCCATGTAAGACCTTTAAATTCTGATGTTTGTAGTTTAAGCGAAGCGTCAATTCACTCTTGGTAAGGTGTAAATGAAACGGTGTTGTGTCTGGTGTCAGTAGAGTTTTGTGAGGTTTACATCGTTGTTTTGCAAGTTTTTAAATCTTCCTCTCTCTGTTTCAGTCTGCAGAGTTCTTCGATATGCTGGAGAGAATGCAGGTATGAGATTCCCAAACTTTCTACTTTTCTTTCTTGTAAATCCCACTTCTTTCTCTACTTTCCCTGCATCTCCTCCTCATGACACCATTTCCATTTCCTTCTTTCTTCTTCCCCTCTCTAGTGTTGAGCAATAATTGCATATTTGCAGTGTAGCAGCATGTCTGTGCTTTCAGGAAGTTGTTAAGGTGAACTTGCTCACTGAGTCCGATGCTTTTTATTTTATTTGTTCCAAACATTTGCAGGAGATAAAATGGAGTTGTGCAGTGAGAATGATTTCAGGTCAAAAAGAAAACATTGGAATTATCCAAACCTGAGAATCTGTCAGGAACAAGGTCAAGGTGAAAGATGAAAGTCTATTTCAGGATATCTGTGGTTTGATACACTACCAGCACAGAGGCCATATATTAAAAAGAAGAAAACATGAAGATGCTGAGATGGGTCTGTCGCAGGTCTGCTGGGTGTAGTCTGTTGCTCAGTCTGTGGCTAATGGAGCCAGAGATCTGGACTGTCATAACTATTTTCTCCCTCTCAGTATGGAATACATTGATTTTTTTTTCTTCTTTTAAATAGTTTGTGTCTCTCTCTGTGTGCAACCACTTTGTCCCAGCCACAGGCCCCTCAGGATGTGGACAGTCTTTCTTTCTCTTTCTCTTAGGCTCTAGAAATATTGCAGGGAATGGATTAAGTCAGAATTTTATATGACTTGCAGTTTGTCTGAATAAATTCAAAATCACCCCCATCGTCCACACAGTCAGACGAGGTTGAACACTTGACATTGCTCTGCTGATCTGTGGTGCCTCCTCTGCTGCCTCAGTTGGAGAACTAACAGGTGAGCCCGCAGATTTGTTGTTGAAGAGTAAAGCTCGGCATACGTAGAGCAGTTTGAGCCGTGACCCGTTTTAGAATCGGACCGAATTTCAATTAAGACGTGCATTGTTTGTCATGCAGTGTACAGGGGTTACGAGGAGGAACCAGATGCTCCCAATCACCCGTCAAATGGTCCGATGAAATTCAGAATTTGCCATCTACTGTGTAGAACACAAAACACTTCCAGACGCCGTGTCTCGATCCTCTGACTTACTTTACAGACATACTGGTCCAGCTGATAGTGAGCGCCCCTGCTGCATCTTAAAGCAAACAACTTAAGGTGGTCTGATGCGCTCCGAGACTGAAATTTTACATCCAACAGGTCATGTCAGTTCAAATATGAACCCGCCCCCATGTTTGGATGACTGTTCCATTTTGTATTAAAAAATGACAGGAACCCATCAAAAAATATTTCCTGAGCTTCCTGCCTGATACGTTTTCCTCACTTTATATCAAAGAAAACATTTTAAATGCATCAATAAGCCTCATATTACACTAGTTGACATGTTCCTCCAGGTAGAATAAGGTCATATATACCATACAGCTACTCTGAATACTCGTACACTGAGGGTTTATTCATCTTGTGGTGAAAATTGTCCCCAACAAATGCATGATTATTCTCTTACAGAACCCACCTTTTTAGGCTTCTTGATGAGATTTGTAGACAACACTGAAAAAATCGGTGTCATCCTTTAGTTTTGAATCAGGATTTTCTCCTAAATGACACAGAAAGCTAAAATAAGAAGAGTGTGAAAATACAGACTGACTGAGTGTGGTTTGTGGGTGGCAGCCAGTCATTGCAGCCTGATGATCAGAGTCACACACACACACACACATACACTGAAGCTGCGCCCCTCATTTTCCTCCCTGAACCTCAGTTCACATCGACCTCCTCTCCTGAGCATGTTTGGAACTGAATTTTCAAAGTGTGCTTCAAAAGAGTCATCTGGATGTTCCTGATCAGGGTCAACTTTTTTCTCCCCATCTTTTCTGTTCTCTCTCTTTTCTCTGTTGACACCTCATTTCACCCCCTCTTCCCCTTTTGACACTCTCTCCTCATCATTGTCTCTCTGTCTACAACTGAAAATTGAAGGCCCTTAGGAGCGTCTTTGTGATCAGTCTCGTGTTGTGGACAATGAATCCCCTGTGACTTCAATAGCTGCTCCATCAATATGCACTCAGACAGACACACATCATTACAGACGAGACTGAAAAGTGTGTGCATGTGTCTGTGTGTGTGTGTTAGTATTGTGGGTCCCATTAGTTTGTACTTGTACTGTTGAAATGAAAGCTGCCTGATTTGTGGGTATCATTTTTGGTATTTGAAGTGATGTGTGTGTGTGTGTGTGTGTGTGTGTGTGTGTGTGTGTGTGTGTGTGTGTGTGTGTGTGTGTGTCAGTCAATCATGTATTTATTTCCTCAATCCTGCGATCACTCATGTAGACGAGCTGTCCCAATAGGCCTGGATCCATAATTGGCCAATTTACTCTGTTTCTGTCAGATTGGCCTTTTATATTTGCATATATATATATATATATATGTGTGTGTGTGTGTTTTTGTACAAGTACTTCTATCTGTGTGTGGACTATAAGCCTTAGACCTTATTGAGTGAGGACATTTTGGCCAGTCCTCACTTTTTCAATGGACTGCTCGAGGGTCAGAGCGTACTTTTATGTGTTAGAGCTTGTGTAAGGGTTAGGTCAGGGTTAGATGTTAAGGTTAGTTCACAGCGAGCCGAATAAACACAACCGGTGAGTATATTGTGTCTTTGCATGTAATATCGATGTGCCAAACATTTTTGTGCACCACAAATCATTTAGGCATTTAGTTGTGATGGTCAAGGAACAGTTAAGGGGCGAGGGAATACATTATGCCAATGAGTTTGCTCACTAAGGTAGAAGTACAAGAACGTGTGTGTATATGTGCACGTCTGTGTGTGTATTATCATGTATGTCTCATTCATATATCATCTTTCAACAGAGATGATATGATCTGAAAACAAAACTGCCGTGTCATGTTCTACAAGTTATTAAATTCACTAAGATTAAAAAAAACAAAAAAGCTTTTTGACCCTTGTGCTTCTCTGTCCTCATGCTGCATTCGGACACTAATAAGATCCCTAAAGCTGAAGAGACCAAAAAATGGAAGGTGTGACCGGACACACATGCTTGTTTATGTCTTGTGTGGATCTCATCAGTTTGTGTTATTATGTTCCCAGTGTCTCTGCGTGTTTTCCCTCATCACTGCTTCATCATGCCTCCTAATTTGCTCTGCGGTTGCTCTTGTCTCATCTGTCTGCTTACAAGTGATTCCCGAACACCCCATGAACACTTTTCAGATATTTCTCAGGCTTTTGAAAGTACGAAAAGTCAATGGCCCCCTGATCTGATTGATTATAAACTGAATGAACTCCAGCCATCAATCGATCCTCTCCGGCCTGCCAGTATCCTGACCCCTGCTGCTGCAGAACATAAATGCCGGGCCGTCTGTAGCGCCGCAGACGGGGCCTCCGCAGTATTTAGAGGTCATGCATCAGAGCTGCACTATGCTAGCAGACTGCCAGAGGACTGCAGGCTCATTAGAGCTCGTAGCCCTAGGGGCTGCTGAATCAAAACAGTTCTGAGATCATGAAGAGGGTACACACCCTCATTGACGTTCGCCGATGACTCTGCATTTCAGGCTGTTGCATCATCACGTCAGAGTCCATTCGGCATCATAAGCTGTGTTACTCTCTTGTTCCTGTGTTTGTGGCTGAGCTTGCAACTGCATCATTGTGGTGTTAAGTGGATGAAGTTCACTTATATTTTTAACTGTGTCCTCCTCCTCTTTTTACCAGGATGATTATATCCCCTACCCACGGATAGAAGACGTGAGTCATCTCTCCCCCACACGTTCACATTCTTCTCATTTGTAACCTTTATCGCTGGCTTTCCAACAATAGATACAAACATTTAGAGCCTTTTTAAATCATTATGGCATTCTATCTTGTGATTATTAAGCCTTTATTATAGAATTTGAATGCCTCACAGCTTATATTTGATTTTATTGGGATTTTTTCTGCCCAAGGTCCTGGAGAAGGGTGGACCGTACCCCCAAGTAATCCTGCCACAGTTTGGGGGTTACTGGATCGAGGATGTGGAGGCACAAGTAGGGACCCCCTCCTCCTCGGAGTCTAGTTTCTGTGAGGAGGAGGACAGAGAAGATGGCATGAGCCCTGGTGGGGGGCATATTTTCCGCCTGGAGTGTAACAGCACAGCCCGTGCCTACCGCAAACACTTCTTAGGCAAGGTTAGTGTGTGACTATCACTGCCAGTTTCATCGTCTGTTTGACTGATGTTGTGTTTGAACTAAAATTGCTGTCTCACGCCACCATTTCTACTTTCCTCATACGTCCAGGAACACATGAACTACTACTGCACAGGCAGCAGCTTAGGGAACCTCATCATGTCCCTGAAACACGAGGAGGCAGAGGGACAGGAGTTCCTGCGCATCATGCTCAGGTACAATGACAGAAACACACGTTGGCAAGTGGTGGCATCTTTCATTTGTCACACTGCAAAGCATGTCTAACATGATGGAATTAAGAAATTGAATCAAGAAAATAAAAAGCAAAAGATTCCAAAATCTCAAATAAAATTTAAAAACAATTTTTTTTTTGGACTCAAGGATTTTGGTTGTCAAATGTTGAGGTAAAAGACCTTTGTGCCATGTGACTCCAATATCTCAGGAAGACCTCCAGTGAATCCTTTCCCATATGGTACTTTGAGTCTGGTAAAAAAAATGTATGAGGACTGAAACTGCACTGTTTGGAGGAGGCGTACAAACACAGAGTGGTAATTTAAGTTTTGTTCTCTGTTAATAGAACAAATCTCTGCTTTCTTTTGTAGGTCGAGGACCAAAACAGTCCATGACAGGATCTCTTTAGCAGGCATCAACCAGCTGCCCAGTGTGCCTCAGATTGCCAAGGTAATAGCAAGTACACGAGTACATTATAATGAAGGCAATTTTCCATTGACACACAGCAGCAGCATCAAAACATAATGGGAACTGTAAGTGTTTGATATGTGGAACTGGCTTGCCCTGAACTGAGAGAAGGGAACTGGAGGAACGAGGATAACATTTCAGAAACTCACTGAATCTGTACTTTAATCAGTTCACAGCAGCACTCAGGGATTTTTTCACTAGTCTTTAAATACATAAAACCACAATCCACCACAAGACACGATAATACAGTTGATCAGTGAAGTAGATTTAACAGAACAAACACACGAACTGTAAAAGTTGAACATACAAATAAAACAAGACAAACTAATAAAGTGAGAAAAAAGTCATAACAGAATATTCACGTTTTGAGGTTTTCTTTTCTACATGTTCAACCTGAAAGCAAACTTCTCTTGGTAGGTAAAGGTCACAAACCCTGTTGCCTTCATGTTAGAATATGGGACAAGGACCAAACTAAAAAGTCAAAATACTTATCAAATAAATGTTTCTCAAAGATGGTTTCTAGTTTGATGCTGTAAAACTGGGGTGAAACATCACTACTGACAGATGAGGCTGACTCGCGATTGATCGCAAAATCTCTTTTTAGACATATTTAGTCATATTCAGTTTGATTGCACTCCATCTTTGCAAAATGTTTTATTCACTGTTCATTTCACATATTTGTATTGATGTTTTTGATAAAATAAATCGATTAATAAAATGTAATATTATTATTATTATTGTTCCCAGTGTTTATTCAAGGATATTTCAGTCACTTACAACAAGTCTCTTCTTTTGTCTTTCAGCTTCTGTGTGAAGATGCCACGGGGCTGAAGTTCAACCCGGCCCTGTACCCTCGGGTGAGTTGTTACTAAACCCCCACATTGGGAACAGCTATATTTTAATGCAATGATATGATGTGGAATATGAGAAGTTATATGTGTATGCAGTCAAGAGGGCATGAGTTTCCTTTTCCTCTCTCAGTATAGTTGAATAGTTTAACATCTGCCAGAACTTTATAGTAACCTTCATTAAGACTTGAGTTTGAACTGATGCAGCGTTAAATTAAAATTTTGAAAGAGAACTTTCATTAACTCATCCTTTATCAAATTTTAGCCCCAATAAGCCCCCTGTCTCTCTAACATCTGCCCCGCCCAGTATGTACATGGTTCTGAAAAGATTGATGGCGTGAGGCGACAACAACTTTCCAAAATGGATAGGATGGATCTGTTTCTCCTCCGGTGAGCCTGGTGGAGCAGTGTGATGGAGCATGCTCTCAGCCTGTGCCTCAGGGAAGGAAAGAAAAAGCCATCTGTGTCTCAGCCTGCAAGAGGCAGCGACAGGATCACTGCCCTCACTGGGGGCCGTGACAGTTTGTCACATGTCGTGCCTTTACGTAACAAGGGCCCAGTAAACCTGCCCTGGAGATGTAAAACATGGAAACATGTTTTTCTAAGGACTACAGCAGACAGACAGCCTGTAACAAGCTGAAGAGATGAGTGACAATATGGAGTGAGCAGAGAGTTTTTGTTCATTTGCAGGGATCGCAGTTGATAGTGGCTTTTGACGAACACGAGGTGAACAACACCTTCAAATTTGGAGTCATCTACCAGAAGTTTGGGCAGGTGAGCGATCTTAAAGAATGAGTTATGCTCCAGTTTACCTCTACTGTCTGATCTCTTCTCTGGAACAGTTTCCCCTGTTTTCTGTCTTCTCACCTTTTCTGTGTCACTTCTCAGACGTCAGAGGAAGAGTTGTTTGGGAACAATGAGGAGACGCCAGCGTTCAAGGAGTTTCTCAGTATCCTTGGCGACAACATTGATCTTCAGGACTTTAAAGGGTAAGAGAAGGAGTGGGATGTGATTGAATGTGAGAAAAGGCAGAGCAAAGTGCAATAAATATGAACAAAAAGACGTCAGGATTCAGTGATAGAAGAAAATGGAGGGCCCCAGACAAAAGAGTGCACAAGGATGTAAAGAAAAATACTTTTAGATGCATCGTGGCAGAAAACCTTTGTATTTTCCGTGCTTTTGATATAACCTAGATCTGAGGAAAAAAGTCTCACACGTATATATATATATATATATATATATGTATATATAGTGCTTTTCTAGACTTGATGACCACTCAGAGCACTTTACAGTACAGTTTTCCACTCACACATTCATACAGTGCATCTTTGTGGACCACTTTCTCTATCACACATTACTAACAGACAATATCTTGTACAAGGACACTCCGGAATGTGGAATAGGGGAGACGGGGATTGGACCACCACCCCTCCTGTTAGTGGACGACCTGCTCTACCTCCTGAGCCACAGCCACCTTTCGTGACATTTGTTTCTGTGTGTTTTGTGCCACTGTGTCCCTTGCTGTAATTGTCAGATAGTGGAATAGACAAAGCATGTCTTTTGCCATGTATGTTAAGGTTAATTAGCTAGACTTAGCTGGGCAGCACAGAATCAATAACCACGTGAAGACAGATATGAAGTTGATTAAATGATTCGAGCCAGTTGTGCTCCTGGTAGGCTGGAAAATAAATTCATTTTTTTTACCCTTTTCGAAGAAAGACATGATAGTGAATACATTTACAGAGACTCCATTGTTGTTGGTTATCCTGGATATGGATATTTCGTCACACGCAACTGACATAAGTTTTTACACATACACTTTTACTATTTAGCTGCTTTCAGACATACACTGAAGACCTGAAATGTTCCTGAAATTTTCTGTTGGGGCTTAATGAGAGAAAGCAAATGTCTGAGTAAGAGATGCAAAACTGAAAAAACAGAAGCGGCATACATGTAGAAGATGTAGATGAGTATGTCAAGTTGGAAAGACAATGACATTCAAGATCTGTAGGCGATAAAGGTCAATGCTGGTGTCAATGTGCTATAAAAAAAACAACCTCTTCCATGTGAATGCATAAGACCCGGACAATCTCTCGTGTGTGTGTGTGTGTGTGTGTGTGTGTGTGTGTGGGACCATTAACGTTTTCCAGAGTTCACATTTGAAAAAGCTTTGAATCGTAGCTGACATGTTGCTACACATCACGTTTGTGTGGCACTGGAGCTTGTTGAGAATAACATGTATAGAGACTGACATTTAAAATACATGAAATAAAATGTAATTACTGGAGGCTGGAGACACACAGAGAAGATGACACACGTGTTTTGATGTGCTGACAGGTTTCGCGGTGGACTGGATGTGTCCCACGGACAGACCGGGTTTGAATCTGTCTTCACCGTCTTCAGACAGAGAGAGATTATGTTCCATGTGTCAACCAAGCTTCCCTTCACAGAGGGAGATGTCCAGCAGGTACGAGACTTTAATGCCGGATTTATCATCGTTACACTGAAGGTTTCCATGGATTTAGCTCTTATATTAAACTGTCAAGGTGTTATTCATGTAAATGTATTATGTTAATCACTTTTATTTGGTGTGAAGCTGCTAAAATCCTCCTCAGAAACACTTGTTTGTGTGTCATAGACAACACATTTAGCTCTCGGGCTGCACAACAACAAAATGTGACATGCTGACACACTGATAAATATTTTCTCCTCAGCTCCAGAGGAAAAGGCACATAGGAAATGACATCGTGGCAGCAGTCTTCCAGGAAGAGCCCACACCGTTTGTCCCAGACATGATCGCCTCCAACTTCCTGCATGCGTATGTGCTGGTGCAGGTGGAGAACCCGTGTTCAGAGCACACAACATACAAGGTACGAAACAGACCAGAGCGAGGAAATTACTCCTGCTGCAAGGTGCTGTGTAGTAACTACGAAAAGAAAACCAAGTTGTAAAGAGACTTTGACAGTGTGAGTGGTGGAGACAACAACATGAGGTCTTTGTTTCACCCTTCCTGAAGGAAACCAGAGTAATACTGTGGGACTTATTTATTTATGTGAACAGGTGTCTGTGACAGCGAGGGAGGACGTGCCTCCTTTTGGACCCCCTCTCCCAAACCCAGCTGTCTTCAAGAAGGTGAGGGGATGTGATATATTAAGAACACTTTGAGGAAATTTCTTTAAATATTGTTAAAATAAATGTTCACATTCAAAGATGAGCTGGTTAGAATTTGGCGGTCAAAGGTCAAGGTCACTCTGACCTCAGAATGTATGTCTATATTATTTTCAATGTGATATCTCAAGATCTCCTTGTAGTGAACAGAACACTTGAAATTAATTTCATCACGTCTGCCACAGTTCACTAGGACTCATGGATGACTTGATTAGAATTTGGTGGTCAAAGGTCAAGGTCACTGTGACCTCATAAAACACATGTTTTGCCTTGTGACTGTAATGTCTCAATAAGCCCTTGAGGGAATTCTTCAGTGTTTAATACGTTGTTACTTGGACTCAAAGATGATTCATAGATTTCAGTGGTCAAAGGTCACGGTGTGACTGGAAATGTCGACGGAAACTGCACTGTTTGACGGAGGCATACAACCACAGTGTGTTTTTTCTTTTCATTTGAATTTACATACTTGGCCTGGATTTTCAGATTGAAATATTGTGCTTTTTACCACTACTATGTACTATAAATACTAGAACTTGGACCTTGACCCCCTGATAACCACAGGGCTAAAGCTAACTTTATATAAAGCAGTTAGAACTACTTCCACCTTGAGCATCAAAGAACAAGATACGATAAGAAGCTAAATGAGAGATGAGAATATAAAAGAATAAATACAGATTAGATAACAGCAATGACAATTATAATGTTAAGTGGATAAAAAGATCAGCTACATCAGAAGGAGTGAAATGATTTGGAAGTAAAAATATTTCTTTAATACTCAGCAGAGACCTGATCTGCAGTGTATTGGGACAAAAAGAGGATTTGAGGCAGATAGGAATTTAAATCAGAGGGTGATCAGACACAAGGCTGCAGAGCTGTTATCTGCATGATGTTGATAAAGGTCACCTTTTCCTCATCACTGCCCCCCCCACACTCCTCTATAGTTCACCATCTAACCGTAAACCCCCCTTCTCTCTCTCTCTCTCTCTCTTTCCCTCCCTCTCTCCCTTATTATTTTACCAGGGTCCTGAGTTTCGAGACTTCCTGCTGACAAAGCTGATCAATGCTGAAAACGCCTGCTACAAATCCGACAAATTCGCCAAACTAGAGGTGAAGCACACTCACCACAGCAGCGTGCCGCCAACCGCCGTTCGGCTTCATCCAAACTCATCACCATATTCGCCATGCCAATCAGGCCCCACATGGGTTTCATTTAACCGTATGTGTGAATTGATTTCAGGGGCGAACGCGAGCTGCACTGCTGGACAACCTCCACGATGAGCTGCACAGACAGAGCCAGGCCACGCTGGGCCTGGGCCAGGCGGGAGAGGAGGACAAGCTGGAGAACGGGGGACACGGGGGTCTGCTGGAGTCCTTCAAGGTGAGCATGAACCTGTGCCATACTTGTGTAAGAGGCTGTGTTTTCTCACCTGTTGCTCAACTCCAGCTGCTTTCAGTCCTGCACTGAACTCCGGAGACCCTTCACACTTTCTCTGGAGGGGTCCGTATGTGTGAACGCAAATGTCCGAGTCAGTTACTGTGGAGATTCTCCAGAGAATACAACAGGACAGGGCATGTTGATGAGTCTTCTGCCACAGGTCACAGGTCTGATTGATTCAAGGGTTTAAACCACTGGTAGTGTCATCTCTGCTGTTTTTCTCTTTAGACAAAAATACCAGTGTGTGGACATTTATTTCTCACCACTCACTGCGCTATCACACTCTTTTGTCTACAACTTAAGAAGAATTGATGTTAAAAGGCGTCTCTTGGGTCTATGTGACTAATGTGACAATTTGATTCTCTTACAGGCATTGTGGACAGCTACTTTGAACTTTCTGCAGTCAGTCCCAGGGGGCGCTGTTCTCCTTGCTCTCATGGCAGTTGTTGTGTATTACCTCTCTGCATTACTGTAAATACAATGGAAGCTCACCATATGATCAATAAACAGTTATTTGGTATTTTGTGTCTCTTCATGAAAGAAAATAAGTATTTTTAATTATGTATCTGCAATAGAGAAATACATTTAAGTGATTTGAAAATACATTCACATCATTACATATAATAAAATATGTGAATATTATATAGGTGTTAAGAATGTTGTCATCAATGAAGTAAGTGAATTTATCACTGAGGACTTGTATGCCCGTCCATCAGTCGCTCATCTGTTTTCTTTGAGAACAGCGCTCTCTGGTGGTGGCATTTTCCAACAGCATCTGTGGTCCTTATTCCAATTTGTATAAGAAAATGAATTAAAGTTTTCACATCCTCTCTGTCATCCCACGTATACTTTCCCAAACCTCTTTCCCTCATCCACTCTTCCTCTGCTTCCTCTCCCTCCTCCAGAGAGCCATGCGTGTCAGGAGCCACTCCATGGAGACCATGGTGGGGTCTCACCGCCATCGGAGCCCCGGGGTAGGAGGCGGGGTCCCGGCCAGCCTGAGCGGCGGCGGTCTGCCGCAGAGCACCAGCGAATGCACAAAGAGCACTTTCACAGTGAGTAAAGGAGGAAAGAGGAGGTAGAGGGGTGAGAAATCTGCTTTTTCTTTAAATCCCTCACTAATGTCAATTATATTTCGTTTCCTTGAAGCCTACATCACATTGTTTTTATTATCTTAAGGGATGGCTTAAAAGTTTTCAACTATGAAAACTATTCCTTCTCCTACTGGCAGTGATGAGATCTCTTCTGAGTATAGCTTTAATAGAAGTGATGGCGGACAAACATTTGACAACTTACAGAGTAATTTATTTTAGGAGCAAAAATGTGAAAAGAAAAAACTCTTGATTTAGATGAAGCCACATCATAGCTGCAGCTGGACTTTGAATGCAACTCGGTACAGAACAAAGATTTAGTCTCTATCTCTAACATTAGAGTTGTGTTTGGAAGTAATTTGCTCAGAGTCTGTGTGGACAGGAGGAATGATCATACCCAACATTAACTTCTATGTACAGACTGGAGCGTCAGTAATGTTTAAAGAGTTACTTCTTCAGCTGTTTGTCCCTGTCCCTCATTCTTTGACTTGTGATCTTCAGCCTCCAGGGTTGTCAGGCAAGTCTCCACTGAAGAGCCCTGTGAAACGACGCTCAGGCCTCTTCCCTCGTCTCCACTCCAGCACAGAAACCCCCTCGGACAAACACGCACGCGGGTCAGTCTGACTTTTGAAACATCCTCTAAGTTCCTGCTCAGTATCATGAGAACAAGAGAGTGACCAAAGGTGTTCTTCCTCCTGCAGCCCGGAAAGTCTTGATGTTGTTATCCCTTTGACATGTTTCCTGTTTATCTGCAGCGATCAAAAGTCTGCTGAGTTCTGCCCTCTGTCCCAAGAAGTGAGGTCAGAGACCTCGTCCAATCCCAGCTCACCTGAGATCTGCCCCAACAAAGAGAGGTGAGGCCAAAGCTTTTTGTTTTTCGCATGGAGACCGTCTCAGAAGACAGTAAAAGCTAAATTGTCAAGTTGCTTTTTCTTGTCTGTTTATGAAATGGAAAACATCATCAACACACCCACTCACTCACTGTGAATCCTGCAGAGGATCTCCATTGGTTTTTTTACTGGGCGGCTGGCAGGACAAACTCTGCAGAATGTCCGGAGCCTCGCACCTCCTGAGAGTGTCCGGAGATGTCTGGAGGTTATCGCATGTCTTTAAAGCAGCCAAAGTCTCATTTTCTGCTTCTGTTCTTTTCTGATTTTTCTCTCTACAGGCCGTTCATCAAGCTGAAGGAGTGCAGCGGCGGCAGGCCCAACATATCTCGCTCTTCATCCAGCACCAGCAGCTTCAGCAGCACCACGGGAGAAACAGAGACTCTGGAAGAGCTGGACACAGTGAGTTGTTGTGTAGATTGTAGTGAGCCGGTCTTTGTCGGAGGAAGGAGTGTTTGGCTGGAAGCAGAGAGAGTAACACTGGTGACACGTTCTTAAATGAGTGTGAAGTTGTTGGCTGTGTCAGAGCTTTCACAGTTGAAGTGATCTGTAATTAGAGTTGTCTAATAGAGAGTGTTGAATGTCAGCACATTGATTATAATGATTACAGCTCATATCACATATGACACTGCTCGTCCGGGTGGTTCTATCCACTCTCAGCGTTTAACTTTGGATCTGCGTGCACGGACCCACAGTGTGTCGTTAAAGTCGTCAGGTTTATCATTAGTGCAGAAGCAGAAAGGAAAATTCCATCACTTAAAAGGAAATGTATTGTATTTTACAAAGGCATCAATAATTCCATCTTTCACAATTAAAGCCCTCATTAAAATCGGATTGATTAAAAGGAATATTTTAACATTTGGGACATATGGTTTTTTGCGTCTCTGCCATTGAGAGGAGAAGATTAATGCGACCCTCAACTCGCTTTTCAAATCTGACAGTCTGCAAAATGCTTGGTTCAGACGTCATTGCTTAAAAACAAATAATAATAATTTATAATAAAAATGTCACTATCAGCTTGAAATAGTAGCCTTTAATTGTGACATTCTGAGGAGCATGTGCATGAAGCTTCCACCAGCAGCTGATCAGTTTAGCTTAGCATAATGACTGGAAACTATTGTATTTCGAAATATACAGCTATTTTCCGGTTACACACATGCCATTGCGTGGCAGCACAATGTGGAGGGTATTGTGAAGAACATTCTGTTTGTGCAGCTCTCCATGGTTGTACCATCACTTTGTGCCAAAAAATACAGAATAAAAACTTGATGATTAACTGTTCAGATTTACTACTGGTTAAAATTAAAAAAGTAAATCACTATGATGCTGTTTCCTCTCAACTTCCAGTTGAACTCTCTGTGGCTCTGCTGTTAGGGAGGTCAATGCAGATTCCAGCATAAATATTCCCTGAGCCGCAGTTCTTTTCCTCCCCCACCCCTTCCTCTGGGTTAAATCTGTGTTCCCTCCCCCCAGGCTGGTCACCCCTCGACAGCTGCCTCCTCTGCCTTCAGCCCCTCTCTCAGTGTCGACAGCCAGGGATCAAGTACCCCTGTCATCATGTGTCGCAGTCCTACAGGTAAATCTTTTATTTCACACACAGGCACACGGGGTAACAAATATAATTTTTTTTTGTTATTTCTGATGAGCACTTCCTTTCTTTCCTGTGCATTTTCTTCTTCTGGTTGCTGCAGATGGGAAAAATAAAACATCGCCAAGGTCAAACTTGAAGTTCCGCTTTGACAAAATGAGCCACTCATCTACAGCTGTAAGTTTTAAATTTGCAGTTTGTCAGATTAGCGTACAAATAATATTCTCGTGTGTGTTTCCTGTCATCGACTGAAACTTGACATTTACATGGACAGAATTATTGTCTGTGGATCATGAAACTGTGGAGCTTGTGTTAATAAATGTAATGAGCCCAGATTGATAGATTCCAGCTGTCGGTGAACAATCTCCTCTAACTGTCATCTCACTTCTCTGTTTTCTCTTTCAGTCTGAGTAGCTTCGCGGAACGGAAACTAACAAACTTGCACAACAAAGGGACAACACAAGCTGATGGAGCTGCAAAAATAATAGTAATTTTCTAGAAAAATTAAGAAATCACCACCACAACCACATAATCACTGTAGATCCCTAAAGCCAAGGATAATCTGACAATATTCCCAACTGCAACAATACTGTGAGTGTACAGGGAGGAACAGCTGATTTCTTTTTCATCAAATTTTAGCTGCAGAAATTAGTCGATGTTACAAGTCGCTGTATGAGTTGCTATTTGCTCCCATCGTCTTAAAAGTCCCGGCATGGCTGTAATACTGTGAGCATAGGCTGAGCTCCACTGTGCCTCAGTTTTTCCTCAATCATCTTATTTGATAGAGAGATACAGAGACCTGAACGTGAGACGTTATGGCCGAACTGTTACTCTGTATCCAGAGAACTGCGATCAAGTGGAGAGGACGTCCTCGAGAACTGTCAGACACCAAGAAGTTGCTTTTGCCTTTGGCCTCGAAGGGTACGTCTGACATCAGTTCCTCTTTTGCCTGAAATTAAACAAGTACACAAACACACACACAAACACTCAGGCTACATCTTCACTATGTTTTCATTTGAAACTGCAACATCTTTGCTACGAATACGTCTGGCGTCCACATTACTCCGGAGTTTTACCACAGCTAAAATAGAGACGTTTGGAAACTGCTGGCCCTGCTTCAGTTTGAAAACTCTGGGGCTGCGTTTTAGCCTTGACGGACAGAAATGGTGACGTTTAGAAACCATGACGTAGACACTCATTCGGCCTTTTATGTCTTTCCTGAGGTAGCCTTCACTGATTCATCAGGCTCCTATGACATGACCCCGTAAGAAACAAAAGGCCATTAGCCTCGGCTACCAGTGTAGACCGCAACATGGATCATTAAATGCATTGCTGACCCTTGCAGTTAAGTTCTGCTCTTTCCAATGTTGCAACTGATCACATGCGTAGTAGATAAGATATCATTTAAGCAATCTAAGACTATTCGGCATGCACATGCCCATTGATCGTGAGTGGCCACATGTTACCTTCACTTCCACCCTGTGAGAACAAGTGCGTGGCTTAGTGTGGAGTTGTAGAACTTTGACTTGTGATATTTGTTTTGCTCAACAGACCTTTACTATGGACAGGGATTAAAACTGATACGGAGCTAAAACCTCATGTTGTTCTAGTTTTGAAAACATATTGTGGATGTAGCCTTACAATAGCAAAGCCTTGGAGGTGGCAACACTGGGAGTCTTAATTTTCCTCTGTAGGATCTGAACTTGTTCTTTGCATATAAAAAGGCTTTTATTGGGAACATCTTACATTTAAAACAGAAAAAAAGCTTTTCTAACCTTGCTAGCTGCTGCATTGTGTCTACTGCGCTGTAAACACAACGCTGCTGAGATTGAGTCGATACTATGACGGCATTTCTGCGTGGGTGTGTAAGGTTGACTTCACATCCCTGAACTGAAGTACTTGGTCAGCGGACATGAGCTCACATGAGGTACAATATGAGACACTGCCAACACATTATATGCCATAAGCTTTTGTTCAGCCAAAGCTGCGCCTTACAATCTATCAATAGCCCTTTTCACCACTGATGCGCTCTCTCTTCTTCTCTCTCTCTCTCTCACCGTGTGAGAGGACGAGAATCTTCTGCATCTGGTTACAGCACAGACTTGTGGGTAACCTATCGATGACCACTTTGGCTGAGAACAGACGTTGCACTTAACTGAAATCATTTCACCTTCTGATACCTCTCATTGAAGCTTGCTATAGCTCGGTGTACCTGTGTTTATGTTCAGAGGTTGTTAAGGTTTCCCCGGCATGTGCACTGATGATAATGAGGACGATGACTTGAAAAAGATGCTTCAGGTTAAAATTAACCTTTGAACCACTTTTGGCAAAAACACGCTCAATGTGAATTTTGAGCTTTTTTTGTAATTGAAGTTTTATTTTGTGTAAGTTGTCCCTCAGAAGTAAATTGCAAAGTCAAGTTGCAAGCACAATGGGACAATAGGTCTACTTTAATCCTCAACTATACCATAGGGTTAGCCTGGAGCTGCACAAACTTCTTCGCAAGGCAAAGTGGGAGAGCATTAATTAAGAAAAAGCTGTGAGAGACGTCAATGTGTTTCCAATGTGACAGAAACTGTGTAGAGAACCATTCATGTAGCTATGATAAAAGTTTGTGGAGTTCTGTCACATTAAAACACAGGAAGTCTTAAAGGTTCAGGTCTCCCAAATTACAAAAACCTCTGTAATTCAGGCAAAACGTGCCAGGAAGCTGTTCTCAAGGAAGATGCACCTTTCTGATGTGACCGGACCAGAAGCTGACGTGGTGACTAAATAAACTAATAAACACAGAATAATCCTCAGTTAGTGTAGACCAGTGATTACCTCGAGTGAAGGAAGCAGGAACAGAAACCCTCTGGTCATTTAGTTTGTAGCAGGTATCGCCTAAATGCCCCTGCAGCCTTTTCTCTGTAAATAGGCTTAATTTATTAAAAAAACATTTTTTGCATTGATGTCATGTAAAAATATAAGTGCAGAGTACGTTAATTAATAAGGTGACAATGATAAAAAGAAATCTATTAATTTAAAAGATGTCTAAACATGTATATGTATATTTGGTTATGTAACGTGCCATTGAGAATTTATTCTAAAATAAAATGTTGTATTTTGTGTCAATTATGTGTTTTTTTCCTTCTTTTACAATCACACACAACACTCACAACTGAATACAGGGGTAATTCTGCCTAACTTTAATATTTAACAAACATGAACACAGTGAAAAAACCTGACCTGTGTTTAACACATTTAAAAAAACAAATGAAAATGTGTGTATTTGTAGCTACAAACTTTAAGTTTTTTCTCCCTGCAGCACATTCTGGCTTGCGGCTCTTGTTCATGATTCAAATAGTTACTACATCACAGTGTAATCTGTCAAAACTAGAACTACATAACTCTGCCAGTTAAAGAAAAAAGGAAGTGGTCTGAAGGATTCATTTCACATAACACAGTTTAAGAAAGCTGGGAAATTCTTAGATCTGCCTCTGAACTGCATGTGCACTGATGGTTTCTTGTCCTTCCCATCCCTGCAACAAGTTTAGTGTAAATGCTTATAAGTAAATCAGTGGACAAACTAAAGCTTCATCAAGTTCTCTCTGATAGTTGAAGTTTAAAAGTAATGCCAAACTGTAGATCAGTTAAAAGACTTGGTAGTTAATAAAAACCGGAGTTTATCTCCAAAATTCAGGAAGGAAACTTTAAAAACATGAAGAATGAGAAATGAGAAGCTTCTGGTCTATGAAGGTCCATGTCCAACGTTTCCTGACAACATCAAGGATCAAGCCCTGTCCAACAAGAAGTGTAATTTGATTGCAGTCAGAAAAATTTGACACTTGAGTACACAGTGGGCTCCAGGGTGGGCTCTCTGGTGGCTCTCTGTTGCCCCAGTACTTCCTTGGAAATGTCTGCATACACCACCTGTAATTTGATTCATGAAAAACGCATCATATGCAATAATTAAAAAACATATTCAAGCCTCACCTGGGATAACAAACAATGTTGTGCATCCTGCAAATGTCATATTGTCTTAAAACAGAGTATTAACTCACCTCATCCTTCTGCTGGGAGCTGTAGGGAGCTGTAAAATAGAAACACATAGACACTAGTGAAGAGAGCAGATTCAGTACTTGTTTCTTTTACTGTAACATGCTGTGAAAGTGAAAATAGAGATACCACTGTGTGAGTGAGAGCCATGTTTCTGCAGCAGAGGCGGGTGTGGTCGGTCTCTGTATACCGCTACATGTGCAGACAGCGGCCTGGGAAGTGGCTGAGGCTCGACCCTTGAACTCAGATGACGAGCTAATCCAAGAATGATGAGAATACAAAGAGAAGCACCGGCCCAGACCAAAATCCTGTGAAACCAGATCCTCTGAGAGGGGACGGCTGCACAGTGGAAGAAAAGAAATGGGCACAAATAAGATTAGATCATAATGAAAACACAGATTCACATTTAACTCAACATATATGATTCTATATACCTGCTGTGATGCTCACATAAATCAGATGACCCAGATCAGTGTCACCTTGACCCCACGTCCCCTTGCATCCGTAGGTACCTTCATCTGATTGGCGAACTGTCAGGAAATTCAAAACTAGGCGGGTTTGATTTACCGAGATCCTTTCATTGGTCACATGACGTCTATCTGAGTTCTTAATGGTGCTGAACTTTTCATCTGTAACATTTTTCCATATCCAGATCCCTGTCCAGGGGTCTCCACAGTGCTGGATTACACAGGAGAGAAGCAGATTGCCCCCTTCTGGTGTGTCCAGTTTTCCACGTCTTGCCAGAACAGCCTGGTTGCATTCTTCAGCACGGAGACCTTAAGAAGAGGAAGTTAGTTTTAGCTCAATGTGACTGATAGTATACCGGTTAAAATAATTGTGTCTTGTATCCAACAAACCCGAAGAGTCATGAGTCATATATAGTTATGTAATAAACTCACACATGTAATCTGGGTCAAACCGCAGGTCAAAATCGCAGTCAGGTCATTTTGATTATTTTTATTTCACCATATCCAACTGACACAGACATTCGCAGGTGCTGATCTCCGTCATGACAACAACATTCATCAACTCAGTTTCTCTTAAGCAAGTTGTCTGCAAAGTGAAACCACTATGTTTTGTTGCTGTAATGCTTTTTATCGAGCTGAATTACAGAGCGTTTATATGAAAAGTTGTGAACTTGGGTGACATTTGTAATAGCCGATATGCAATGTGTGAAATATTCTAACCTAATTTCTAATTCTTAATTTCTAACCTCACGCTCCACGACAGAGAACAGTTTGAGGAGGATTCACTAATTACAAGGAATAATTCTGAAGTAGCTCCAGAGCTTTAGCACAAACTAAGAGAACGGCAGGTTTAGAAAAAGGTATTGCACTGATGAAGTAGTGAATTTAGAGGGACAAGGCTTAAAAAGCCTGAGCGAACTACAAATGATATACATTTGTTCTAAGAGAATATGACTTCAGATCTGTGAGAAGTAAATCATGTTACTTACCAGCAGGAAGAAAGCAGAGACAGCTGATGGCACAGAGGAGATAGCCGTGTATGTCTGACATCGCCAGAGTTCCTGGAGGTTTGTCACAGAGCGGCCGTGCACTTCCTCAGCACAGCTTCAGTCTGCATGTTTAGGCTTGACAGTGAGGCTGTGGGACCTGTTTGGGAAATTCTGTAAAAACTGTGGTCCGTAGTAAATCTGCTTACCTCAGTAGTTCTGTCACTCACTTTACTTTCCCATCTTCAGTAATATGACAGGCTTTTCTTTATCCTGCTTCGGGTTTTGTCCAGTGGAAGTGAAGGAAGGAAGTAAGCCACTTATCACCCCCCTCCTCCTCGTCCTTACACACACACACACAAAAACACACAAACAGCAAATGAAAGCAAATATGAGTAATATAACAATTTACTAGAAAATGAGCTGTTGAGAAGAATGGTAATCAGACTAGACTAAATAATTGACCCTCATAAAGTCTCACACAGTCTCAGATTAAAGTTGTTAAGGTTGCTGGACTTCAACCTCAGCTGGTTATACAGTATTTAGTGTCTTTGTATGAGCTTTTTAATATGACTGTGTGTGTGTGTGTGTG